ACACACGCCTCACTAAAGGATGGAAACGAAATCCCCACGAACTGCCTAACAGCTTAAGTAACAGGAATCGAATAAGCCCAAGGATCTTAGATTTTGAAAATCTCCAAACAATTTCTACTGTACATAACCGTTTCCCCTTCCAAAACAAACAATAACAGCCTGGTTTGGCAGTGCACATCAGTAATACCAGCATTCTGGGAGGCTGAAGCAGGAGGATCACAAGTTCAAGCCCAGCCTGGGCAATTTGGTGAGACCCTTTCAAAATATAAAAAGGACCAGGATGTAGCTCAGTGGTAAGGCCCTGGACTCAATCCCTAGTGCTGCCAAAAAAAGAAAAAAAGCCCTTTTCTGGGAGGGGGCGCTGGTATAAACTCAAGACCTCACACTTGCCAGGTAGGTGCTGCCCCCACTGGGCTAACCCCCAGCCCCAAAAAGCCCTTTAAAAAACAAAATGATAAATGACCCCAACACCCCCCCATACACACTAGCACTGTTCGTGTTTGAAAGGAGAGCGCCTCACTCGAGCTGAGGGACACATGGATCTGACGTTTCAATTGTGGTTTCCAAGGTCACTCCTTGAGTTTGGAAAACAAGGTTCCCAATGAGACAAATATAATCGCTTCACTTTTTATTTCTTCTTCCTTGAGAATGAAATGTCCAATTGGAGCCAAAGCACTCCATCTGGAACACATAAGGGCATGCGGGAGTGTAAACTAAGCTTTTAAGATGGGATATTATTCTGTTCTTATTCTTTTCCATTCTTCAAACTATGATGCCAGTGAGCTGGGGGAGAGGGGCTTTAGCAAGAGTCCCTCCCTCAGATGAAATCCTACCTCCTCGGGGCTGGGGATTTAGCTCAGCGGCAAAGCGCCTGCCTGGCAAGCGCAAGGTCATGAGTTCGGCTCCCGGTACCGGAGAAAAACCAAAACCAAAAAAAAAAAAAAAAGAAATCCTACCTCTTCACCCACCAGTGACGGCAAGTTCAAGGGGAGCCTGACCCCAACGCCCCACTACTGGCAGATGCCCGCAGGCTGGTGGGGTGCCCATTCGCACTGCCCTCCTCGGGCTTAGAGGCGGAGCCTTGTGGGTGCTCGGGCTGCGGATGCCTCCCGTTTCACAAACTCAGGACTTCAGGGCCTCATCTAAGGTCTCCAGCCTTAGCTTAGGTACTATGCCACATTACAGCACTGTCTTCAGCCAGAAAGAGGCGAGAGACCCCTGGGCTTATATCTGCGCAGCTTGAAGGGCAGACACGGCACCCTCCACACCCTCAGCAGCCAGGGCCCTGGGAAGGCTGCTCCGGAGGGACGCTCCGGTTCAGCCAACATGGTCAGGAGGGCAGAACTCCCACGAGGGGTTTGCACAGTTGGCAAAACGCCTGTCAAAATCTCAGCTGCCTTTTGGCAGAAATCAAGCTGATCCTAAAATTCACAGCGGTCTCAAATGGCCAAAACACCATTGGGGAGAACAAAGCACATTCATTCACGCCTCCCAATCGCAAAACTGACTATGAAGTTACTGTCCTCAAGCAGGCACAGATGCTGGTACTGCCGTTAAGGGAGATATCTGGATAAACAGTAGGGAGCTGAGAGTGAAAAAACACCTGCATTTACGGTTAATTGATTTTCAGCAAGGGATCCATAAAGATAATTCGATGGAGAAGAACTGTCTTCAGGTGGTGTTTTTGGGGGACAGGGTCTTGCTATGTTGTCTAGGCTGTCCTCGAACTCCTGAGTTCAAGTGACCCTCCTGCCTCAGCCTCCCAAGTAGCTGGGATTACAAGCACACACCTTCACATCTAGCAAGAACAGTCCGTTTAACGAATGGTGCTGGAACAACAGGATATTCACACGCAGAAGAATGAAGTCAAACGCCCTACTTCATATCACATACAAATACTAAGTCAAAATGGATCAGATTTAAATATAAAGCTGAAACTGTAAAACTCTTAGAAGACAATAAAGACATAAATCTTTATAACCTTGGATTAGACAAAGATTTCTTAGGTATTATAGCAAAACCCAATCATGGAAGAATAAGAATAGTTGTGTACAGAAGACTTGGTCATCTGTAATCATGGAAGGGCATGCATATAATTCTAGCACTGGGAGGCTGAGACAGGAGGGCTGCTGCAAGTTTAAGGCCAGCCTAGAGTACATAGTAAAACACAGCCATTTCCACCCCCACTCAATGCCGTTACAGGAGTCTGAGCCATGCAGAACCTGGCCTTGAATGTTTCTAAACTATGCCAGTGGCCTCTTTGTTCCCTGTCTGGTGACGCAGGGCTCTGTAGGCTTCTGAGCTCTGGTCAGGAACTCCAGCACCTTAAGGATGGCAGAAAAGTAGAGGCAGCAGTCTGGGATGAACAGTGCTGGGAGGACCAGGATGTAAGGGCCGGAAGGAAGGAGTGGTGGCTTGCAGAAGCCGGGAGGCCACGCTTGGGCTCATCAGAGGGGTGGACGGACTCTCTCTGATCCTCTGTGCTCCCTAATCTTTCCTCGAGAGGAACGACTATGTCACGTGGTGACAAGTTCCCTGCGTTACAGGATTCCAGACGAGGGAGAACGATAACCAGAAGAGATCTGAGGAGAGGACTTAACTGCAAACGTTAACAGTCACTTTCAACCCCGGGCTCCGGATTGATGACCAAGTCTTCTGTACACAACTATTCTTAAAAGCACCCCAGCCCCCTCTCACTCCTGGCAGTGGGTGGCCCTTCCTTCTGCCATTCAGGAACATTCCCTGAGAATCTACCGTGCGTCAGGGGCCAGGGGCCAGTGGTAAGGAAGGCCACACCCTGCCTTCTTGGAGCCTACATTCTCAGACAATAAAACCCATAAATAGCCAGGTGTGGTCCACAGGCCTCCTGTAACAGGCACTCAGGAGGCTGAGTTAAGAGGATCTCAAATTAGAGGCCAGCCTGAGAAAATAAAGGAAGGGCTCGGCATGTACCCCGGGGGTAGAGTGCTCCTGGGTTCGCTCCACAGCACTGCTACATGAGTGGATGGGTGGATGAAGGAAATTGTTTCAGGTAAGTCCTGTGAATAAACTACAGTGGAAGAACGAGATAAAACTTAGGAGGATGGACCGCTGTAGACAGAGCGATCAGGGAAAGCACAGAGGAAGGGCCTGAGCCGAAGGGTAAGAAAGCGGGGGACATGGAAAGAAGCGGGGAAAGAGGGTGCGTGGTAGAAGAAGACGCAAGTGAGAAGGCCCCGCCGAGTCTCCAGACACCTGGAACTCGTTCTCATCAGAGGCATCCCGGCCTGCAGACCGCGCACGCACACAACGGGATAGCTCTCGCTAGTCCCACAGCCCGCCTTCTTCGCCGGCGACCTCCCGATCAGATTTTCTCAAGTCAGGACAGACCTGAATTTTGCAGCAGGTGTGCGCTGGGCGAGGCCACAAGGGACGCATGCGCGCGAGCATCGCCACGCCTCGCTCGGAGCCGGGGCCTCCGGGGGTGAGTACCACCGGCGCCTGTGTCTCGGGTCACTTCTGGAGACCCAGGGCCAGGTCTGGTACTCCTTTTTCTGGAGTACAAGAGGAAGAAATTAAACAGGTGCGGCCCAGAGAGACTCCACGGGTGCAAGAGACAATCTGCTGGGGATGAAGAATGGGGAGCAGACACAAACTCAGGTCCCCGGGCCCTCCAGCAGACCACCAGGCCGGACGAGAGGTCAGCCTGTCCGGGCCTGGGCTGGAAGGAATGCGTGGAGGCTGCTCCGTGTCACCCCAGAGGCCAACATGCAGGCGCGCCCAGAGCTTCCAGAAGCTCCAGGACCCAGCTCCAGCAGGCTTCTTGACAAAGGTCATCTCTAATCAGCTAGGTCACAGCTAGGACACAGCTAGGTCCCGGGGCTGCAGGGGAGGGCCGCCCGGCACTGAGACGAAAGGCCGGATCCCCAGCAGGAGCAGGCAAGGAGCCCCGGGTGCACAGCCGCCGCGCCGCGGGGAGGCAGGGAGGTGGGCGCATCCTTCGCCAGACGTCAGCACCCGCCACAAAAGCAGCTAACACGCGGCGGACTTACCTCGTTCGCACCAGTCACTATTTCAGCCACTCACTCTGATCTTACGAAATCCTTTCAAGTTTGTGCTATTATCACCTCCAGCCTACACGCGAGGAAACCGAGTCATACACATGAAACTCGCCCCAGACCACACTGCTAGGACGCAGACTGCAAAGCTCTCCTCTTCCTACCGCAGGGGACAAGCCGGTTACCTCCGGGTGCTGCCGGCCGTTGTCACCTCCGCCCCAGTGCCAGAGGCACGCCGGGCCCGGCAAAGAACCCGGGAACCAAGTCCTCAGGAAGAATCCGCCGCCTCCCCAGCACGCAAGCCCCTGCCGGGGCCAAGCAGGGTGCGCCGGCGGCCTCCGCCCCGCACAGCCCGGAGGCGCCCATCTCCACCTGGCTTGACAACCGCCACGTCCCGAAGACGCTCACCCGTGTCGGCCGACGCGGCGCCCACGCCCTCGGGCCCGCCACCCGCGCCTGCCTCTCGGCGTCTCCCGCCGCGCAGTTTTCAAAAGACGCAGCGGCCGGCCGCGGACCCG